CACTCCCCCTCCTCTCCACACTCCTCCTCTCCCTCTCCCCCCCCTCCCACCCTCCTCCTCCCCCCCCACTCCTCCCTCCCTCTCCCCCCCACTCCCCTCTCTCCCCCACCCCCCTCTCCTCCTCCCCCTCTCTCCCCACACCTCTCCCTCTTCCCTCTCCCCCCACACTCCTCTCCTCCCCCTCCCCACTCCCTCTCCCCCTCTCTCTCTCCCCCCACTCCCCCTCTCTCTCTCCCCCCACTCCCCCCCTCTCTCTCCCCCACTCCCTCTCTCTCTCTCCCCCCACTCCCCCCTCTCTCTCTCCCCTACACTCCCCCCTCTCTCTCTCCCCCCCTCTCCTCCACACTCCTCCCTCTCCCGCACTCTGAGCCTCATCTCAGGGCAGCGACTGAGGCTCAGAAACCCTTCAACTCACTTCCCCTCAACTTCTCCCTCTCCCCTCTCTCTCTGATTTAAATGCTCGGTTATACTTCCTCTCTGGTCTCTCCCTCTCTCTTTCTATCCTTCTTTCTCTCTCTCTCTCTCTTTCTGTCTTTCTCTCTCTCTCTCTCTCTCTCCCCCTCTTCCTCTCTCTCTCTTCCTTTTTCTCTCCCTTTCTCTCTTCTTTTCTCTCCCTCTTCCTTTCTCTCTCTCTTCCTTTCTCTCTCTCTTCCTTTCCCTCTCTCTCTCCCTTTCTTTCTCTCTTTTCTCCCTTTCTCTTTCTCTCCCTTTCTCTCCCTTTCTCTTTCTCTCCCTCTCTCTCTCCCTTTCTCTCTCTTGGTCCGTCTGTATCGATGTATTTGGCTGACACTCTGTCTTGCACTTACACTTATGACAACATCTCTTTACCTCTCCCTCTCTCTTTACCTCCCTTTCCCTCTCTCTCAGGAAGTTAATGCAAATGAACTCTTGACATTTACTTGTGTTGCGCAATTCTCACAGAAACACCCCATCTGCCTTCCTCACCTCTCACCAATGCAAAGCCATGAGGCACTGTATCAAATGCAAAGATTATTAATTATTATTATTATTATGATACTTAGGACGTTTCAAAGTGCTTCACGGGTGAATCACGGCGGTGACTGTGTATTTTACAGGGGTTTTGCAATGAACCACAAAGCCAATGACACCAGGAGAGAGAAAGTGAGAGAGTGAGAGAGAGAGAAAGAGAGACAGAGAAATTGCCTCTTCTTTTCTTGAAAGTTTTGTGGGGTCTTTAATGTCCGTCTGAACGCAGGCCGGAAAAACTCTGTTTAACATCCCATCGGAAGGACGGCAACTCCCACAACTCCCTTCACGCAGAATCATTACTTTAACTACTGAATGTCGACCACACGTTAGACAGAGACACAATCGCTGACAACCAACAAACCAACAAATGCAAATGAGGTGAATAAAACAATTTGACTGAGAGTTCCTGCAAACTTGCTATCGTAGGAAAACATCCAATCTGGTGTGTGTCTGCATGCGTTCATGCGTATGTGCACACATATGTGTTTAAGTTTGGTATGTGTGTGCGCGAGTGGTGTATGTGTGTGTGTGGGTAGGTGCATGCATGCTGTGTGTGTGGTGTGCGTATGTGTGTACGTGTGTGTGTGTTTGCGTGTGTGTGCATTGTGTGTATGAGTGTGTGTGCATTGTGTGTATGTGTGTGTGTTTGCGTGTGTGCATTGTGTGTATGAGTGTGTAGTATGAATGTGTATGTGTAGTGTGTATGAGTGTGTATGTGTGTGTTTGCTTGGGTGTATGAGTGTGTGTGTTTGAGTGTGTGTGCAATGTGTGTATGTGTGGTGTGTATGAGTGCGTGTGCGCGTTCCTTGCTTTCTTCTCTCCAGCTCACACCCATTGCCCGCTGCCTCCCAAACCCTTCCGGGTATAACAGCAACTTGCATTTATACACATTCCCATCACACGGGGTAGTGTCTCAGAGCGCCTCACACTGGCGGAGCCTGGCACTGATCCTGGGTGAGATGGTGGGGCCGCGGTCGAAGAGGTAGGTCTTACCCCAAACGCCCCCTCACCCCCCCCCAGCTCCTAGTTTGTGTGTCCAGCCGACAGAGAGGCAGCTTGAGGTGCAGCCCTCGCCAGGCTCCACTGGCTCCCCATCACCCAACGGATCGACTTCAAGATCGTCTCACACTCGTTTTTACATCCCTTCATTCCCTCGCACCTCCCCACCGCACCGGCCTGTTCAACACCCACCCCCCCCACACCCCACACCCTCCACCACCCGCTCGCTGCCTCCGCTCGGCCGTGCTTTCAGCCACTGCGCCCCAAAGCTCTGGAACTCTCTCCCTCAATCCTTCCGCCTTACCCCTCTCTCCCTCCCTCCACACTTTCAAACCCCACCTGAAGACCTTACTCTTTGATGGTGGTCACGGTTACCTCCCGCCCCCTCCCTCCCTCTCTCCCCCCCAAGATACTCACGCGCGACTGCGCACGTGCGTATCTGTGTGTGTACTTGAGTGTGGTGCGTGTTTGTATTCATATGGTGTATGCGTGCGAGTCGGTAGGTGTGTGCATGCTTTGTGTGTGTCTGTGTGTGGGATATGGGTGTGTGTGTGCATCTGTGTGTATGAGTGTCTTGGTTTGTGTGTTTGCGTGGATACGTGCTGTGTGGGTATGGTGTGTGTGGTATGTGCATGAGCGTGTGTGTATGAGCGTGTGTGTATGGTGTGTGTATGTTCCTTGCTTTCTTCCCCCAGTTCACACCTGGGCTCGGGGTCAAACTCCACCAGTCATACGCTCCGGGACGCTGCCCTGCGTGAAGGGCGCTGTGTAAGCGCAAGTTGTTGTGGAGGAAAGGTTCTGTATGGATATGTATCATATTGTGCTCAGTCTAAAGCCTCGGAGCTGCTCACACCCCACGCCTTTGCACCCCCCCACCCTTCCCCACACCCCCCGCCCCCACACTCCACCACACACCCCCGTCAGTCAAACCTTTCGTTTGATTCATATCATTTTCAAGCCACGACTATTTGGGGGATTTGTCGGTCAGGTCCCAGGTGAGAGAGAGAGAGAGAGAGAGGGCCTGAGGGGGGGAACTCCCCTCTCTTTTTTCCGTTGGCTTTGTGGCTTCTTTAAGGTCCGTCTGAACCTGGACCGGAAATCTCGGTTTTGACGTCTCGCCCGAAGGACGGCAACTCGGACAACGCAGCACATCCCCCCACCCCAGTGCTGCCCTGGAGCACAGGCCAAGACCACAGCCGAGCTCACGTTCCCAAAGCGGGGCTTGAATCCACACAACTCCGAGGCCGAGAGGCGCTGCAGACTGAGTCAGGCTGCAGTATGTCAGCAAACACACCAGAGCCCCTTCACACAGGAAGGAATCAGCTTTTAGTTACTGAAGATCGACCCCCGTGTTAGACGGAGACACAATCCCCAACAAACAGCGAGCCGAACAAATGAAAATAATGTGGATAAAATAAACGAGTCGACTTGGCAATTTCTGGCAAACTTTTTACCCTAGAAAAACATCCAATCTGGTGTGCGGCGTGTCTGCGTTTGTCTGCGTTTGTCTGCGTGCGCGTGTGCATATTTGAGTGTGGTCTGTGTCTGTGTATGCGTGCGGTATATGCGTGTGATTGGTGTGTGTGTGTGTGCGTGTGTTTGTGGTGTGTATGAGTGTGTCTGTGTGTGGGATATGAGTGTGTGTGCATCTGTGTGTATGAATGTGTGTGTGCATGAGTGTCTGGGTTTGTGATGTGTGCATGTGTGTGGGTACGTGCTGTGTGGGTGTGATGTGCGTGTGTGTGTGGTGTGTGTATGAGTGTGTGTGTATGGTGTGTGTGTGCCTTGCTTTCTCCTCCCTAGTTCACACGTGTTGCCCCCTCTCTCCCTCCCTCCCTCCCTCTCCCCCCACCGGGGCTCGGGGTCAGACTGCGCCGCTGTCGTGCGCTCCGGGACGCTGCCCTGGGCGAAGGGCGCTGTGTAAGCGCAAGTTGTTGTTGTTGTTGTTGTGGAGATGTCCTCCCGACGGGGAAAGTGTCTGGGTTTGTGATACGTGTGTGTGCGCGTGTTTGTGTGTGTTTGCGTGGGTACATGCTGTTGGGTGTGTGTGTGTGTGTGTGTATGAGTGTGTATGGTGTGTGTGAGTGTTCCTTGCTTTCTTCTCCCTTGTTCACACCTGTTGTCCGCCCACCCCCCCTCCCGTATCGTATCGTGCTCAGTCCAACGCCTCGGAGCTGCTCACACCCCAGGCCTATGCCCCCCCCAGCAACCCCCCCAATACACCACCCCTCACCTACGCTCAGCTAACACAGGCCTGAAACATCCCTCCGCACCACTGTTGTAGGCTGCGGCTTCAGCCAATTCACTCCAGGCCTCTGTGATTATGGGGGGGGGGGGGGTGAGGGTATCACTCTGGCGCTGTTGCTGGCTCGGCAGCCTCAGGCTCACTCTCGTGTTCAGACTGCTCGTTCGGTTCATCTGCCTCCATCTCGAAGAAATTTAACTGGGGAATCGATCAACAAGAAGAGGGGACGTTACAGGCCGCGACTCGACCTAACTCCACAGCGGGAGCCCTCACCTCCCGAGCCAGAGGACCGGGTTCGATTCCCGGACAGGGAGTAAACCCTGGGCAAGTTTCCTGCCTCCACACACACACGCCCACACACACGCACACACGCCCACACACACACACGCACACACGCCCACACACACACACACACACACGCACACACGCCCACACACACACACGCCCACACATGCACACACGCACACACGCCCACACACACACACACACACACGCCCACACACGCACACGCCCACACACACACGCACACACACACACACGCCCACACACACACACACACACGCCCACACACACACACACGCCCACACACACACACGCACACACGCCCACACACACACGCGCACACACACACACACGCCCACATACACACGCACACATGCCCACACGCACACACGCCCACACACACACACACGCCCACACACACACACCCACACACACACACACACACGCCCCTGTTTTAACTAGCAATAAGTAGGAACTTCCAGACGTCTCAAAGCACTTCACAGAATAGACCGTAAAGTGAATTGACTATATATTTGTGGGCGAAACACGGCAGGCAATTGAAGTGATCAAATTATTATTTTTTTGAAGGGATTATTATCCCCGGAAAGCGATCCGCCAACCGACTAAACAACCAGGTTATCCACTTACTGCTGGGTAAACAGAAGCGCACTTGTGTGTGTGTGTATGTGTATGTGTGTGAGGAGTGAGGAGACTTGCCCAAGGTTTCGCACGGCCCTGGAGTCGAACCCAGGTCCTCTGGCTTGCGAGGAGAGGGTTCTAACCACTGAGCCACAGGCCTCCACTGTCACCCTGGAGCCAGTTCATCTCCGAAGAGACCCCACTTATACCCCCACAAGGAGGATTGTCATGACTTGGTTGTTGTCAGCAAAAAAAATCCCATTGACGCAGAGGCTTAAGAGGACATCCCAAGGCGCTGGACAGTCAGGGATTTGCACCCGAGCTGAGAGTTGGGATCAGGAGTGGGGGGTGGAGGATGGGGGGGAGGGTGTGTGGTGTGGGGGTGGAAGACAACTGAAAATGCTGTCGAAGAGGAGGGTCTTGAGACCTGCCTTGAAGGAGGTGAGGGAGAGGGCGAAGTGGAGGGACTGTGGGATGGAGTTCCAGAGGGCAGAACGTGAAGGGAATTATTTGGGGAATTCCACCTTCTTTCCTGTCTTCAGATCACACCTGAAGAAATTCCTCTTCTACCTCCCACCTTAAGTGTAAGCTTCTTACATCTAATAACACTCATGGTGGATCGCTTTCTGGGGGGGGGTTCCAAAAAATGTGGTCACTCAATCCACACTTTCACCCACAAAATACACAGTCACGACATTCAAGGGTATATCCTGTGAAGTGCTTTGAGACGTATCGAAGATGTGATAAGGCGCTGTGTCAATTGCAAGGATTATTATTATTATTATTATTGTTAGGAGAGGTCAGGAGAAATCTGCTGCTTGGGGTAGAGTTGGCTGGATTAACCTGTATTTGTGAAGCCTGTTGTTTTGTTGCTATCAACAACCAGGAGTTGTGCAACTCAGGGATTTGCACCCGAGCTGAGGGTTGGGATCAGGAGGGGGGGTGGAGGGCAGGGAGGTGGGGGGGGAAAGACGACTGAAAGCACGGTCGAAGAGGAGGGTCTTGAGACGTGCCTTGAAGGAGGCGAGGGAGGGAGCGAGGTGGAGGGACTGGGACTGTGGGATGGAGTTCGGGCGGGGTGGGGGGGGGGCGGTGCAGAGAGGCTGATGGTGGGGAGGCAGGGCAAAGTGTGAGGGGAATTTTCACACAGCAATGTCTCCCAACCGGCCGTGGCTCATTTTATTTGGGGGAGTGTTGGCCAATACACCAGGAGAGAGAGAGAAAAACCCTCTTCTCATTTCGACTAGTGCCACGGGAGATCTTTAACGACCACCTTGAAGAACAGGTAGAGACAGACGGGAGTGAGGTTTAACGTCTCATCCCAAGGACGGCGCCTTGAACCATGCAACAACCGCCACCCCCCACCCCCCCCACCGCTGGCCTGGAGCGTAGGCCTAGACTGTGAGCTGCAATCATTAAAGGCCGTAATTACCTTACTTCTTTGTAAGTATCTTGATACGTTTCCTACAAAGAAAGGGACAAGAAATAATCAGAACGAACTATAAGACCAACCCGTCCGCTCTCTCCGTCCTGCAGGCACTCGCCTGCTTCATCACCCCGCCTCCCCCTCGCTCTCCCCCCTCGCCCTCGCCCTCCCCACCCCACCATCGACAGTCAGGCCTTCAGCTTTTCTGCCCCCCATCCTCCGGAACTCCGTCCCACAGCCTGGCCCCCCACCCCCCTCGCCTCCTTCAAGACCCGTCTCAAAACCTTCCTCTTCAACCGTGCCTTCAGCCTCCCTCCTAAGCGAGACACCTGAGTTCAATTCCCGGCAGAGGGCAAAACCTTGAGCAAGTTTCCTTATTCCACACACCTAATAATAATCCCTCCAAAACAAACAATAATAAATTGGTCATTTTCAATCCAGGACTGTTTGTGGGACATTGTTGTGCGCAATTGGCTGCTGCGTTTCGCCCACAAATATACAGTCAATTCACTTTACAGTCTATTCTGTGAAGCGCTTTGAGACATCGAGAAGACATGAAAAGCGCTATATCAAATGCAAGAATTATTATTGTTATAATAAAAATAATAATCCTTGTGTTTGATACAGCGCCTTAAGTGGGCGACACATTTAATGGTATGGTTTGAGGGGAAGCATTTAATGGTTTGAGGTTAAACCGGGGAGCGAGAGGTGGGAGGTCGACGAGGAGGGTCTTCAGGTGTGATCTGGCAAACCAAACACCCCGATTTCAAGAGGGAAGAATACCAGGTCGGTTTTCTTTACCCAGAGGGTTATTAACGACTGGAACAGGGTTAACAGTAAGTGTGTAAAGCCCAGGACACTAGGCCTTGTTTAAAGAGAAGGTTGTTATTGTGATGTTTGGAGAGTTGGGGCGAGAAGGGGGATTACCCCGATATAATGACGTGATCTCCTGTGTGAGTCAGAACCGAAGTTGCACAAATCTTGGGCTGACGGCAACAAAACAACAGGCCTCAGAAACACAGGTTAATCCAGTCAGCTCCCCCAAGGAGCAGCTTTCTCCTGGCCTCTCCCAACCACAACAATCATATTAATAATAATAATAAGCCTTGCATTTGATACAGCGCCTTATCAACAACAACAACAACAAGATTAAATGTGTATAGCGCCTTTCACGTCAGGAGGACATCCCAAGGCGCTGGACAGTGACAACATTTCAAACCCGAGCTGGGATCAGTGCGGGGGAGGGAGGTGAGGGGGAGGCCAATGGCATGGTCAAAAAGGAGGGTCTTAGGCGGGACTTGAAGGAGGCTAAAGAGGGGGTGAGGCGGAGTGATTGGGGGATGGAATTCCAGAGGTTGGGGGCAAAGTGGCTGAAGGCTCTCCCGCCAATGGTGGAGCGGGTGGGTCGGGGGAAGTGGAGCAGCCAGAGCCAGCTGAGCGGAGGGAGCGGGCGGGTTGGTAGGGGGTTAGGAGGTCACAGAGGTCGGGTGGGGTGAGGCCATGGAGGGCTTTGTATGTGAGGACCAGAATTTTGAACTGGATTCTCTGAATGATAGGGAACCAATGTAGTCGGGTGAGAGTGGGGGAGATGGGGTCACGGAGTTTGGTGCGGGAGAGGACACGGGCGGCAGAGTTCTGGATTATCTGCAGCCTGTGGAGGGAGGAGTTGGGAAGGCCGAGCATTTGCCCTGGAGGTGATGAAGGTATGAACAAGAGTTTCAGTGGCCTGAGGGGTGAGGTATGGTGGAGTCGGGCGATGTTGCGGAAGTGAGGGAAGGTAAGTGCTTCACAGAATATACTGTAAAGTGAATTGACTGTGTATTTGTGGGCAAAATGTTTAACAGTACGGTTTGAGGGGAAGCCGGGGAGGGAGAGGTGGGAAGTCGAAGAGGAGGGTCTTCAGGTGTGATCTGAAGACAGGAAAGAAGGGGGAATGAGACAGGGAGATAATCTGGCGAGCCAAACACCCCGATTTCAAGAGGTCGGTTTTCTTTACCCAGAGGGTTATTAACGACTGGAGCAGAGTTAACAGTAAGTGTGTAAAGCCCAGGACACGAGGCCTTGTTTAAAGAGAAGGTTGTTACTGTGATGGTTGGAGAGTTGGGGGCAAGAGGAGAAAAGCTTATCTGGAGATCACGTTGATATAATGATGTGATTCCCCTGTTTGAGTCAGAACAGAAGTTGCACAACTCCTGATTGTTGATAGCAACAAAACAGGCTTCACAAATACAGGTTAATCCAGCCAACTCTACCCCAAGCAGCAGATTTCTCCTGGCCTCTCCTAACAATAATAATAATAATAATAATCCTTGCAATTGACACAGCGCCTTATCACGTCTTCAATACGTCTCAAAGCACTTCACAGGATATACCATCGAGTGTAGGGACTGTGTATTTTGTGGGCTAAACGCGCAGCAGTGTGGATTGAGTGACCACATTTTTTTGAACCCACCCCCCAGAAAGCGATCCACCATGAGTGTTATTAGATGTAAGAAGCTTACACTTAAGGTGGGAGGTAGAAGAGGAATTTCTTCAGGTGTGATCTGAAGACAGGAAAGAAGGTGGAATTCCCCAAATAATTCCCTTCACGCTCTGCCCTCTGGAACTCCATCCCACAGTCCCTCCACTTCGCCCTCTCCCTCACCTCCTTCAAGGCACCTCTCAAGACCCTCCTCTTCAACCCCGTTTTCAATTGTCTTCCATCCACCCCACCAAACATCCCCCCTTCACCCTCCACCCCCACTCCTGATCCCAACCCTCAGCTCGGGTGCAAATCCCTGACGCCTTGGAAAATCCTCTTAAGCCGCTGCGTCAAAAGGATTTTTGTTGCTGATAACAACCAAGTCATGACAATCCTCCTTGTGGGGTCTCTTCGGAGCTTAACTGGCTCCAGGGTGACAGTGGAGGCCTGTGGCTTTAGAGCCCGCACCTTGCAAGCCAGAGGACCTGGGTTTTATTCCTGGGCCGGGCGAAACCAAGTTTCCTTCCTTGGTGGTGCTTCACCTCGCTGAGCCGGTCTGGAACCTTGATGTCGTTTGACCTCAGCTGTCGTTTCTACCCCACATCTGCGCCATGTCCCGCTCTGCCTTCCCCCATCTCCGCAACCTCGCCCGGCTCCGACACTGTCTCACACCATAGGCCTCCGAGACCCTCATACACATCTTCATTACCTCGAGACTCGACTACGCAAATTCCCTGCTGGTCGGCCTCTCCAACTCCTCCCTCCACAGGCTGCAGATCATCCAGAACTCTGCAGCCCGTGTCCTCTCCCACACCAAACTCTGTGACCCCATCACCCCCATCCTCGCCCGACTCCATCACACAGAGGATACAGTTCAAGATTCTGGTCCTCACCTTCGAAGCCCTCCATGGCCTTGCTCCCTACCCCCATCACCTCTCCGACCTCCTAACCCCCTACCATCCTGTTCGCTTCCTCCGCTCAGCGGCTCTGGCCTGCTTCACGCCCCCCGCCACTCTGCCCCCACCCTCTGGAACTCCATTCTGCAGTCCCTCAGTGTCACGCCCTCCCTCGCTACCTTCAAGACCCACCTCAAGACCCTCCTCTTTGACCGTGCTTCGATCTCCCTGCTTCACCCCCTGCCCTCCCCTGACAATTGGCTGCCGCGTTTCGCCCCCAAAAAACACAGTCACTTCACTTTACAGTATATTCTGAGGCGTATAGAGTAAGGAAACTTGCCTATGGCTTTATCCCATCCGGTAACCGAACCCCAGGTCTTCTCACTTATGAGGCGAGTGCTTTAACCCAGGACTCCACTAATTATAAATAATTCCAATTACGAATAATAATTATTATTATTAAAATCCATAACTTTAAAGAAAATGGAAGATAACAATTAAAACAGTAATAATCCTTGCACTTGATACAGCGCCTTATCACGTCGTTGAGACGTCTCAAAGCGCTTCACAGAATATACTGTAAAGTGAAATGAATATTTTGCGGGTGAAACGCGAAAGAGATATTTTAGTCCGCAGATATACTCACTGTACACCTGGATAATCGCACCAAACCCGACTGGTATGATCAGAGCTCCTGCCAGCTTATAAATCACTGGCCATTCGGCTTTACAGCCGTCCTCTGAAAGACAATAAATTAGCGATGAGATTTACATTTTAATATAAAACTTAAATCAGACCCGTAACTGCAACTCATGCTGGTATTGCTGGAGTCCTGTAGCTCAGTGGTTAGACCCCTCGCCTCATAAGCCAGAGGACCTGGGTTTGATTCCCGGGACGGGCGAAACGTTGGGTAAGTTTCCTTACTCCTTGCTCCACGCTTCTGTTTACCCGGCAGTGAGCAGGAACCCGGTTGTTAGTCGATTGGCGGATCGCTTTTCTGGGGGTAATAATTCCTTCCCCCCAAATGTAAATTAAAAAATAATAATAAACTGGTCACTAAATTCACTAAATGGGTCAATCAATCCACGACTGTTTGTGGCAATTGGGCTGCTGTGTTTCGCCCACAAAACATACAGTCAATTCACTTTACAGTATATTCTGTGAAACCACTTTGAGACATCTCGAAGACGTGATAAGGCACTAAACCACATGCGTGGATTATCATCACAGAATCATAGAATAATACAGCACAGAAGGCCAAAACATTTTTCCTCACTTCCCATCTGTTTCTTTTAACAATTATTTTAAATCGGTGTCCTCAGGTTACCGACCCACCCGCCAGTGGGAATAGTTTCTCCCTGTTCACCCTATCGAATTCCCTCATAAGTTTGAAAACGCCTATTAAGTCTCCTCCTAACCTTCTCTGCTTCAAGGAGAGTAGTGCCAGCTTCTCCAGCCTCTGCTCACAACTGAAGTCCCCCATTCCTGGCACCATCCTGCTCAATCTCCTTTGCACTCTCTCCAATGGCTTGATATCCTTCCTAAAGTGTGGGGCCCAGAACTGAACACAGTCTCTCGCTGAGGCCTAACCAGTGTTTTATAAAGTTCATAGAATACTTTTGTATTCTATCCCCCTATTTATAAATAGTAACCTGATATCCTGTCTGCTTTTTTAACAGTTGTTGGGTGATATTATATGTCAAGTACCAATTGAGCTGTGATACCTCTGTGGTCACATACAAGAATAACATGTTTACATGCCTAAAGGCGTGAATCTGATGGTGTAGATGTATTCAACAACAACAAGATTACATGTGTATAGCGCCTTTCACGTAGGGAGGACGTCCCAAGGCGCTGGACAGTGTACAGCATTTCATACCCGAGCTGGGGTCAGGGGGGCGGAAGGGGGGTGGCGGATGGCATAATTTTGAGACGGGACTTGAAGGAGGCTAAGGAGGGGGTGAGGCGGAGTGATTGGGGGATGGAATTCCAGAGGTTGGGGGCAGAGTGGCTGAAGCCTCTCCCGCCAATGGTGGGGCGGGTGGGTCGGGGGACGTGGAGCAGCCAGAGCCGACTGAGCGGAGGGAGCGGGCGGGTTGGTAGGGGGTTAAGAGGTCACAGAGATAGGGTGGGGCGAGGCCATGGAGGGCTTTGTAGGTGAGGACCAGGATCTTGAACTGAATCCTCTGAAGGACAGGAGCCAATAGACAGCTGAGGGTGGAGGCAGAAAGATAGAGGTGGGTGTCATCCGCATACATGTGGGAGTTGACCCCATGTCATGTATTTAAGTGGAAGCTAAACCTCTGGTGGAGAATGAACACTGGAACCTGCTGGTTATGCTGAGTCGGGCTGACACACAGCTTTGACATCCACATGAACAGGCACAGATGGGATCTCGGTTTAACATTTCCCTTCGATGTTGCAGTTGCTCTCCACGTCCCACCCCACACGCCCCCAGCACAGCACTGGAGCCACGGCCTAGACTGTGAGGTCTGACGTAATCCTTGCCTTTGCCGTTGTGCCTTATCACGCTGTCAAGACGTTTTTGTTTTTGTCATCGTTGTCTCAAAGCCCTGCACAGAATCTATTGTAACACCAATTGACAGTGTGTTTTGCAGGCGAAACAAAAACAACAACAAAATGACATTTATAGAGCACCTTTCACGTCGGGAGGACGTCCCAAAGCGGTGAACAGTCAGGTCTCGGGGCCCGAGCATGGGGGGAGGGTGGTGTAGGGGTGAGGGAAGGCAGAGGGTTGGGAGGGAGACCAAAGGCACGGTCGAAGAGAAGGGTCTTGAGACCGGCCTTGAAGGAGGCAAGGGAGGAAGCGAGGCAAAGGGACCGTGGGATGGAGTTCCAGAGTGTGGGGGTAGAGAGGCTGAAAGCCCGGCCACCGATGGTAGGGCGGGTTGGGCGGGGGACATGGAGCAGGCTGCTGAACGGAGGGAGCGGGCAGGTTGGTAGGGAGTCAACAGGTCAGGAGAGGTAGGAGAGGACAAGGCCATGATTGGCCTTAAAGGTGAGGACGAGGATCTTGAAATGCGGCAGCCAATTGCGCACAGCGGAAAAGCGATCCGCCAATCGACTAACCGCGTTCCTCTTTGCTGTTGGGTCCACAGAGGTGAGCGTGTGGAGTAAGGAAAGTTGCCTAAAGTTTTGCCCGGCTCAGGATTCGAGCCCAGGTCCTCTCGCTTGGCTAGTCAAGAGCAAAAAACCTCACAAACCTTGAGCCCACAGAGTGTGAATCAGAGGCAGGATTTGATACCAACTGAGAATAAGGGGCACTGATAAAGGAAATGGTTGGAGGGAAAGTTCCCTGAATGCTGTGGGGGATACTTACTGCTGGGCTCAAAGTTCTTTATGATCAACATAATCGTGATGATGAGAGCTACGTGCACAAACATGGCGATTACGATAGGCATCCCTGTGAACGCAACAAAACACACCATCATTCGGCTGATATCTGATCGTTCAAGGCCACTGCCAACCCATAAGATATCAAAATAATAATAATAATCCTTGCATTTGATGCAGCACCTTATCACGTCTTCGAGACGTCTCAAAGCGCTTCACAGGATACGCGTTAAATGGCATCGACTGTGTGCTTTGTGGGCGAAACGCGGCAGGCATTTGCGCACAGACAGTCGTGGATTGAAGTGACCGATTTCTTATTACTTTTTTTTGAAGGAGTTATTCCCCCCGGGAAAAGCAATCCACCAGTCGACTAACAACCGGGTTCCTACTCGCTGCTGGGCAAACAGAGGCACGCGGAGTAAGGAGACTTGCCCAGGAATTGAACCCAGGTCTTCTCACTTGCGAGGAAAGTGCTGTAACCACTGAGCTACAGGACGCCACAAAGTCCTACAAAACTGTCTCAAGGACAGTGTGTTTGTGTGTGTGAGGCACGAACACCCCATGAGGTGTTCACGTGAACCCGGCATGATTTTGACCGGGTGATCTAATGTCCGCACCATGATTGGATGAACATTGGTATAAGAGGTCCGATAACTTTGTGTACGGGGCCGTCCCGGGTCGCGGAGACAAGGATACGGGAGATGGAGCCATCCCGGGTCGCGGAGACAAGGATACGGGAGATGGACCGTCCCGGGCTGCGGAGACAAGGATAAGAGAGATGGAGCCGTCTCGGGCTGCAAAGACAAGGGTACGGAGATGGAAGACTGAGAGCTGGAAACACTAAGACTGAGGATATCAGATGGAAGATTGAAAGCTGTAAGCAAGAAGACTGAAAACATGAAGAATCAAACTTGTGTGCTGTAAAGACACAGTGTTGAACTCTTGAACTCGAGATATCTATAGTGGTGTTATTCTTTATAAGATCTGTTGATTGTATCGGCCTTTGGTCTGACCCATCGGGATATTGGGGAATAACGAACAAATTATAATAAAACAGTCTGATATCTGGTTAGAGGAATTAGCGTTATTTCCTTGCAGATTTGGCTGATTTTATTTTCTAACAGTTTTGGCGTAGTCGGCAGGATTCCCCAGTAAACAGTTTTGGCGTAGTCGGCAGGATTCCCCAGTAAACAGACAAGGGAGGTACAATCAAGCCTTGACGAACGTTTAATGATGTTGCATGTCTGATTGTTTTTAAAGCTGAATATTTGACTATATTACCTAGGAAGTTTGTGATTGTCTCCTTGTCAGGCATTTGAGTACGCTGGCGATCGCACCAGGCATTTAAGTGCGCTGATGTGCGTGTGAACGACATTCGAATATGTTGATATATCGTGTGTCGATGTGGAAATTGCGTAAGTGATGGAGTAACTTTCGGGCGTTCGAACAGTCAGTGGGAAATCCCCTATTACCTCCGGGTAAGGAGAGGGACTGGGACCGACAGTAATTGTGGCTGTGGTCACTGGAAATAACCTGTTGGTTACGACTGAGCTGTGAAACTTGAGAGAAAGCTCAGTAAGAGAGTTTGCCTCCTGGAAGTACCATCCTCCCTCCCAGGTTGTGTGACCTTGTACTATTTTTCTGATTTTATATTATATTCTTTTTGTAGTTTTGTGATACCTCATGTTCATTCGGTATCAAGGTGGGGACTGTTAGAATTTACACTTTTTGTATAATGTTGGAATCATAATAGATGTTGCGAACGGGTTAACTTTTAAGTTAAGTGTGTTGTGGGCAGCTGGACTGAAACTCCCTACACGTACACGAGAGAACGGACTGTCTCAAGGACAGTGTGTTTGTGTGTGTGAGGCACGTACACCCCATGAGGTGTTCACGTGAACCCGGCATGATTTCGACGGTGCGGTGATCTAATGTCCGCACCATGATTGGATGAGAGTATAAGAGTTGTATAAGAGTTCCGATAACTTTGTGTACGGGGCCGTCCCGGGTCGTGGAGACAAGGATACGGGAGATGGGGCCATCCCGGGCTGCGGAGACAAGGATAAGAAAGATGGAGCCGTCCCGGGCTGCGAAGACAAGGGTACGGGAGATGGAAGACTGAGAACTAGAAACACTAAGACTGAGGATATCAGATGGAAGATTGAAAGCTGTAAGCAAGAAGACTGAAAGCATGAAGAATCAAACTTGTGTGCTGGAAAGACAGTCTTGAACTCTTGAACTTGTGATATCTATAGTGGTGTTATTCTTTATAAGATCTGTTGATTGTACCGGCCTTTGGTCTGACCCATCGGGATATTGGGGAATAACGAACGAATTATAATAAAACAGTCTCATATCTGGTTAGAGGAATTAGCGTTATTTCCTTGCAGATTTGGCTGATTTTATTTTCTAACAAGTTTAATGTCTCACCTGAAGATGGGGCCTTTGACAACGCAGGGCTCCCTCTGCACTGCACTGGAGCGTCAGCCTCGACTATGAGCTCCGTGTCTCTGATGTGGGGGAATCGGACCCACAAGCTTGTGTGTCAGAGCGCTGCTGACTGAGCCAGGCTGCCACACTGTTTATCTTTTATACCTCGGAGCTGTGAACAATGGATGTAGTGCTCCACGTTCCCCCTGCCTACCTGCTCCACACCAACGGTCAAATTTTCAGCCTCTCTGCCTCCACCCACCCTCCCTCGTACCCCTCCCTTTCCTCCTTCAAGGTCCGGCTCAAGACTTTCTTCTTTGACCGCACCTTAAAGCCACCTTACCCTTACCACCAACCCCCCCTTACCCTCCACCCCTCTCGATTAAGCCCCCAGCTCGGGTGCAAACCCTTTACTCTCCAGCGCCTTGGGACGTCCTCCCGACGTGAAAGGCGCTGTGTAAATATCATTTGTTTTTGTGGTTGTGGTGCCAGCCCAGCCAAGGAGGTGGGCAGAGGGAATGTGGCACGAGAGGTGCCAGGGCATGAAACCATGTGCGAAGGATCTGGAAATTGATCTGCCCTGTGACAGGGAATCAGTGGGACAAGCCGTTTAGCTTCTCAAGGAAGGTTAAAAAAAAGTAGGAAAGAAATCGATACTTACAAGTACTCGACCACAGTCGATGACACAGCTCACAAAACTGCCCAATAATTACCCCCAGGGGCATGAAGATTAAAACGAGGGCAGCTATTAGAAGACCCACTGATTCGGTAGTCCAGTCTGCAGGTAGAAAGGATCTGGTGAAATCATGGAGAGAGAATCCTAGCGGTGTTAGCTGACTATTTGAGCACTGTGTTGAAACAGTTCCAGGCAGTATTAATAGCAGCGGAGTTCTTAGAGCACTCAGCCTCGCAAGCGAGAGAGGACCTGGGTTCGATTCCCAGGCGGGACGAAACCTTGGACAAGTTTCCTCACTCTACACGCACGCCTCGCAGTAAGTAGGAACCCGGTTAGTCGGTTGGCGGATCGCTTTCCGGGGGTAAAATAAGCCGTCAAAAGGAAAAAAAAATGTGGTCACTCAGTCCACGACTGTCTGTGGGATGCTGCTGTGCACGAGTGGTTGCCACATTTCGCCCACAAAATGCAGTCACTACACTTCACAGTATATTCTTTGAAGCGCTTTGAAACATCTCAACGATGTGATAAGGCGCTATATTAATGTACGGATTATTATTATTATTATTAACATTATACAAGGTGCTGGACAGTCAAGGATTTGGACCCGAGCTGGGGGTTGGGATCAGGAGGGGTGGAGGGCAGGGAGGGTGGGGGTAGGAGGGTGACCGAAGGCACAGTCAAAGAGGTCGGTCTTGATAAAGGCCTTGAGGGAGACAATGGAGGGATAATAAGAGTTCAAGCGACTTACCATTGACGTAGATCCAGTAACCGATGGCTGCGAGGAGCAGACTGAACGAGGCTAACATGTTGAAAAGGCTCATAATCCGCAAGAACATTTGGAGCTTTATTTCTGGGGGAACAAGAGTCGTCAGTGAGCAAGCGATTCATAGACACAAACTGAAACCACCAATAAAAAAAAATGAATCACTCGCTTCTCTACTGTTTGTTGATCACTGCCGTGTGCAACTGGCTGTCGCGTTTCACCCGCAAAATACAGTCGATTCCCTTTACGGTGGATCCTGGGAAGCGCTTTGGGATGACTCAATGATGCGATAAGGCTCTGTATCGAATGCAAAGATTATTATTATTATTATATTATTGTCCCAACTTGTGCGAGTGAGTTTTACTGTGCCGCATTTACACACACAAACACAAACACACTGCCCGCTTGACTTACCACCATTGTGGAAGGATGTTGAAAGCATGAAGCAACAAACAGAGACCAGCATACACCCCAACCCCGTGATGGCAATGTTTATCATGTTTCTGGAGAAGGGAAGGATGCCTGAAACAGTTGCAAAAGCAAAAAGGCACCTCAGGAAACACACATACACACACACACAGTGATAACAAAAACAACAACAACAAAATTACCTGCGCAAAAGTGCCTCTCACGTCGGGAGGAAGTCCCAAGGGGCTGGACGGACAGAGTTTCGGACCCGAACTGGGGGTTGGGATCAGGGAGGGTGGAGGGTAGTGGGTGGGGTGGTGGGCGGAAGCAGGGTGATCGAAAGCACAGTCGAAGGTGGGTCTCGAATTAGTCAAGAAGTTAAAAAAAGAGATACAAAGCAACACCTCCTGCAGCTCGGTGATTAGAGCCCTCGTCTCGCAAGCGAGAGGCCCAGGTTTACATTTCGGGCAAATTATTGTTCATTTCATTACTCAGGTCACACCCGTTTAATGTTTAACCATCAGCAAGTGGGAACCCGGTTGTGAGTCAACTGCCAGATCACTTTCCCGGGAGATAATAACTCCTTGCAAACAAATAATAATACTTTGGTCGCTCAAACTGCGACGGTTTGTGTGTGGGGGACGCTGCCGTGCGCAATCAGCTGCCGGGTTTCACCCCCGCTGTAGCCGGTGAAGCATTTGAGACGTCTCGAAGATGCGATGAGGCGCTGTATTAATTGCAAGGACTATTATTATTATTATTATTAGCCTGTAGCTCAGTGGTTAGAGCACTCGCCTCGCAAGCGAGACACCTGAGTTCAATTCCAGGCAGAGCGAAACCTTGGGCAAGTTTCCTTACTCCACACACCTAATAATAATCCCTCCAAAACCAAAAACAGTAATAAATTGGCCCTTTTCAATCCACGACTGTTTGTGTGTGTGGGACGCTGCTGTGCACAATTGATTGCTGCATTTCGCCCACAAATATACGGTCGATTCGCTTTACAGCGTGTTCGGTGAAGCTTTTTGAGACGTCGAGAAGATGTGATAAGGTGCTGTATTAATTGCAAGGACTATTATTATTATTATTAATATTATTATTATCCCCGCGAGCCACAACAAAGCCCCGAAACGGCTCCGGACGGCCGGGCGGGCGATCGGAGGCATCGGGACGTTTCGAAACGCACCCTGGATGTACAGCTGGTAATGAGCCACCGCCAGTATCCCGTGAAACTCAGCTTTGCAGGTGAAGAGGCCGCAGTCCTCGGTCATGGCCTGGGGGATGAACAGAGACTGGTTGTCGCTGGACAGGATGTAATCGGGGAGGAGAGTTTTGTTGTCCTTCAGCCACCGGAAGTTGATGTACTTGGTGTATTTTTGCTTGGACAAGCACTTGAGCTGGATGGTGGTCCTGGCGTAGTAGTTATCGTTGGTGATGATCAGTTGAGACACGGCAGCTGGGACGGGAAGAGCCGAAGAAGGGGGGGAGAAAAAACATAAAAGGAAAGGAACGCCAACTTGTTTTCGGGGCGAAACCGACGGTTCGAGGGCGCAGGAGAAAAGCCCCTCGTCCCGTCCGGTCGCGGCCGGCTGGCGCTCTCGAGGGCGATCCTTTCTGTCCTGTTTCAGTCGCCTTTTAAATCCCCCCCTTCTCCTCCCCATTGCTGAACGGGGGTTGGAGGGGGGGAGTGAGCGAGTGATGGGGAGTGAGAGTCGGTCGCTTCAATCCGCGACTGCTTGTGGGGGGGGGGAGGGGGCGGTTACCTGAGGGGGGGCTGGTGTGGGGGGGGGGGCAGCTTACCTGAGGGGGGGCTGGTGTGAGGGGGGGGGCAGGTTACCTGAGGGGCGTTGTAGTGGGGGGGCGGGGGTGCTGGTGACCTGAGGGGGGGCTGGTGTGGGGGGGGGGGGGCTGGTGTGGGGGGGGGGCAGGATACCTGAGGGGGCGTTGGAGTGGGGGGGCAGGGGTGCTGGTGACCTGAGGGGGGGGCTGGTGTGTGGGGAGGCTGGTGTGGGGGGGGTACCTGTTGGGGGGGTACCTGTGGGGGGGGTACTATGGGGGGGGGTACCTGTGGGAGGGTACCTGTGGGGGGGGTACCTATGGGGGGGGTACCTGTGAGGGGGGTACCTGTGAGGGGGGTACCTGTGGGGGGGTACTGTGGGGGGGTACCTGTGGGGGGGTACCTATGGGGTGGTACCTGTAGGGGGGTACTGTGGGGGGGTACCTATGGGGGGTGTACCTGTAGGGGGGGGTACCTGTGGGGGGGGTACCTATGGGGGGGGTACCTGTGGGGGGGGGTACCTATGGGGGGGGTACTATGGGGAGGTACTGTGGGTACCTATGGGGGGGTACCTGTGGGGGGGTACCTGTGGGGGGGGTACCTGTGGGGGTACCTGTGGGGGGGGGTACCTGTGGGGGGGGTGACCTGTGGGGGGGTACCTGTGGGGGTTGGTATCTATGGGGGGTACCTGTGGGGGGGGGGGTACCTGTCGGGGGGGGGTATCTGTGGGGGGGGGGGTACCTGTGGGGGGGGGGTACCTATGGGGGGGGGTACCTGTGGGGGGTGGGTACCTGTGTGTGGGGGGGTTTACCTGTGGGGGGGGGTACTGTGGGGGGGGGGTACCTGTTTGGGGGGGGGGACTGTGTGGGGGTACTGTTGGGGGGCCTGGATTGTAAATTTAAGTTGGTCCTAAATCCGCTTGCATGGTAATCACACGCCCAGCTGCCTAGCCC